CCCCCCCCGGGTCAAGGGTGTCCCTCTTTTCCAATCTGAAAATCTGGTCACCTTACCTTAGCCTGATACAAAGTTTGAAATTTGGGAGAGTCTGCCAAATTCCGATGGGACGATAGAGAAATTAATGTGAAATGTATCCACTGAGATCTTCATTGTGTACCTTGACTTTTCTACAACCAAAGAGTTTTTCCTGTTGAATCTTCCAAGTTTGTAATCTTCCCATGTTTTCCTCCTTTCTTTGTACTAAACCAGGGGTGTCAAACTCAATTTCATTGAGGACTGCATCAGGGTTGTGTTTGACCTTGGAGGGCCAGGGTGGACATGGTCAGCGTGGGCGTGGCCAGCTCGATGTCTCTTGTGTTGGGGTGCTTGTGGTGGCCTGAATGCTCTGCCAGTGAAAACAGGCTCCCGAGCTCTGTTTTTGGCTGGGATGGCTTCCTGCAGCCCTCTGCCAGTGAAAATGGAGTTCAAGAGGGCTTCCTGCAGCCCTCCCGAGCTCCATTTTCTCTGGTAGATGCACCTCGGGTTGGTACTTGTTTCCAGGGCAGCCCCACGGGCCAGATCTAAGCACCTCCTGGTGAGTTTGACACCCCTGTACTAAACGATTATGAAGGAAACAAAGATTTAGTTACTGCAGAATGCTGTAAGATTGGCAAAGTTCAGAATTGTTAATTTCAAAACACTCCTAATGCAAATTAATTTTTTGAACACAAAATATGTAACCTAACATTTAAAATACCTTCAGTGGGTTAAACTTGTAATTCTATTTATCAGGCAGCTGGTGAATGTTGCTTCGAAACAGAGCAAGTGTGAACACAACTTTTTGTATAATTACTAGTGTGATTATGATTTCATGAATTGTGTTTGCTCCTATGGAATGTGTTGGGGAAAAAAAGGGCATTTAATTTCTTGTTACCTAATCTTCATGCTAAATTTAATTCTTTACCAGTTTTTTCTTTTGTTAAGTAGAACCAGAAAAACAAATGTGGTTCCAGATGCAACAATAACAGAAATGTTCAAAATGTGTTTACTGAATTGTCAGGTAGTCTTCAATTTATAACCATAACTGAGCATGGAATTACGGTCATAAGTCTTGGCGGTCATTAAGCAAATCACCATGCGACCATGCCTGATTTTATGACCTTTTTGTGGCATGTCACATGCTAAGTGAATGGTTGTTAAGTGAATGGCATGGTCATTAAATGAATCCATTTGGGTGCTTTTTGCTGGTAACCAGAAACCGGCAACTTGCTGAAAATCACAGATATTGGGCCATGGGATGGTGCAAACAGTGTCAACGCAAAATGATTGCCAAGCACCCAAAATACAGTCATGTAAACACATATGTGTGTGCGCACTGTTGTCAGAGCTCCAGAGCCAGAGTAAGTACTGGGGGGGAGGGGCTTTCATAACTTTAAACAATTGCTAAGCAACCAGTCATTAAGTGAGGACTACCTGTATAATTCCAAAACACTGAACTCTGAAATAGTAAAGAAACAATGTTCTCGCTAGCAGAAATTGGAGAGTGGTCAATAGATCTTAAGACTTTGTAATTTTAAGCTGAAAGAAGTTAGTTGATTAAGGCTAACAGGGTCTGAAGGCCGATGGCGTGAATTATTAGCTGAGACTCATCAGGCAGTATGATGAAGTCTGACTCAGCTGCATGAAGAAGTAAGATAATAAAATCTCCAATAATTGACTTGGAGGCTCAAGGCAGTTAAATGTAATTTCTATCTTCGCTCAGGGAGACTACAGATTTACAGACAGAGTTAGTCTAAGGCAGGGGTGTCAAACTCCCGCCCTGCGGGCCGGATGCGTCATGCACTGGCCATGCTCACCCCCTCCCATTTTAATAAAGGGAGAAAAAGTTGTGATAAGTCACGTGACGAAAACATGCTGCAAATTTGACACCTCTGTTGTAAGGTCTGTTTTAAAATGTGGATAAGCATGTTGCAGTTTCAATTCATCTGAAAATTGGCAGGTTGTGAAAAGTTGGTCTAAAAGCCCTTTAGGACCATATGATATTCAGCTGCAATTGCAATCCCCATTCCTTCATTGATCAAAAATTGTAGGATATTTTTAAGAGTTTGGAAATCCTGGTATCTCTTCTATGATACCACTGGACATTTCTTTGTGGAGTTTGTCCTGCCGCACAGTGCAGTTTCACTCCATCTTCAGGAGCATAGAAAAATTGGGTCATCCAGTGGATGGCAGGAAGTGTTCACACAGTTCAAAAGTCTGGTGGAACTTCCATTCAAGAACCATGGGCAGACCCCACATGATAATTGATCTTCCATGAAATCTAATTATTCTTAGAAATCACCTATGCCAGTTCCTGTTATAATACTTTATAGCAGGATGGTGTTTTTGTGGGTCTGTATTTGTATGTGCCATTCCATTGACTTTTGTTGAGTGATTTCAAGTTCTGTTATGGAGAAGGAGGGAAAAAATCCCTTGTTTGATGGAAAAGAATAGGTGAAACAATAGTTTTCAGCCTTCTGTCTACTCTTCATAGAGTCTTAAAGTTGGAATGTATGTTGGAGGTCAACTGGTTGAACAGCCTGCTTAGTGCAGGATCTGCTAGACTAGAGGATTTGATAGATAACCATCTAACTACTGATTGAATATTTCTTTTGAAGGAGAAGTTTCCACTTCATATGGTGGTCTGTTCTGGAAGTTCCTCTTCCTTATGTCTAAATTGATTTCCCTTCCTTGTAGTTTTAACCCACTGAGTTTAACCATGCCCTCTAGGGTGAGAGAGAGTAAGTCCATTCTCTCTTCTACCTTGTCTACCTGACAATCAGGGAGGTCAAACCTGTGTCGTTATGGCATCATCATGTGATGTATCGAGACTTTTCCCCCTTCGCAAAACCAGGTGAGGGTGGGGCAGTGGTGGATGCAGGCGGTATTCCCTGGTACAAGCGTACTGGAGCATGCCCGGAGCACCGGATACCGTTGCTCTGGCTAAGACACATGTGCGCACTGCACACATTCATGTGGATGCTGTCGGGCCCGTTCCAACCATACTGGCTGGAACGGGATCCAGAACCCACCACTGGGGTGGGGCCAACATGTGACAAATCCGGCCTACAGGCCACAAGTTTGACACTCCTGTTCTAGATATTTGAAGATGGTTACTCTGCCATATTTTTAAATTTTGAACCTTGGTTGAACAGCTACTTACTTGCTTAGTAGCTTAAACCACTGGAAGTGGAATTGTTAGCATGTTTCTTCCTCATGTGTTGTATCAAACCGGGGGTGGGGGCATGATCTTAAAAGGTTGATTCCTTGGAGAAACTTTTCTTTGGATAGGTAGTTAGGCAGTGAGACTTTCTCCTAAAATCTGCATACCGTGAGCAGCTCAGTTATTTCCCCAAGAGTTTGTTTAAGTAGGATAGTTTGGTGAGCAAATGTTGAAATAGGAAATGACAACAAGAACTGGATCGAGATTGAAGTTATACTAAAATGGTAGTCATTTCTTCATTAAGAGAAGAAGGAAAACTCATTTGAATCTAGAATTAAACTAGCTTTATACACACAGGTTTTCTCCCTGGGGAAATTTCTCTTCTTTGCTCATGTCTGATCTAAAATCATCAGAAGCCTTTGACATTTTACACTTATGTAACTGCAGGTGGGACGGATATCAGCACTTCAAAAGCAGGTTGTAAGTCCCATTTTTCAGAGTCCATCATAACTTTGAACAGTCACTAAGTGACAGTTGAAGACTACTTAATTGACTTTAAGAACTGGAAGTGGATATGGATTAGTTTAATATTTATTTCTTTTTTTTTTTTTTTGGAAGAAAATGGCTAAATACATAAAAGTAAGTTCTACTTTACCTGATTTGGAACTGGAGAAAGAGCTTTCTTCACTGAATACCTTGTGAAACTAGAATTCATCTGCAACCGACACCAAAGCCAGTGTAGTGTGGTGGTTATTGAGATTGTGGTGATGGAGTCAGCCATGGAATCTCACTAGATGACTTGGGCTGGTCAGTTAATCTACTCTATCACACAGGGCTGTGGTTGTGAGAATAAAATGAAAGGAAGATTCTGCATACCTTGCCTTGAGCTCCTGCAGTGAAAACATCAACTGCATCTAATAAATCAATCTAACAAATCAATCAATCAATCAATCACATGCACTCTCATCTCAAACTATCCCACACAATTCTGGTATGGATTAAATGAAAGAAGTACTCCAGTAGGTTGGCCATTTTCAGCTCCTGAAGAAAAAGGAAAATATAAATTTAACAGTGTATCTAGCTTAAACTGTAATGAACATTTAGTACTAATATGTTTTTATGATTTTCCTTGTCTCTGAAGCCTAATTTTCTATGACAAAGATACCAGTATATCTAGCACAACAATAAAAACAAACTAAATCACAAGCTCAACAAGAGTAAGAAATCCACAGGGGCAATAGAAACAGATGTCCCTTTGTGTATATAAACACACAATTCAGGGGGCCATTACAAAAAAAAAGCCTGCTGCCAGAAGAGATTATTCAGGAGGTAGAGCCTCCATCTATGCTGAGGATTGATATTCGGTCAAAAGTGGAGCAGCAAGCTGGTAAATGGTTGGATTCAAGGGAGCTAATACTGCACTCCTACCAGTCCTTAATGCTAACTTTTGTTCTTTTTGCTCCTTCCTACTAACCTTCCTTTTCTCCTCATTTGCAGGTTCATCAAGGTCAGCACTATGACTGATGGGGACTATGACTATTTGATCAAACTCCTGGCCCTCGGGGATTCTGGGGTTGGAAAGACTACTTTGCTTTACAGATACACAGACAACAAGTTCAACCCAAAGTTCATCACGACAGTAGGCATCGACTTTCGAGAAAAGCGTGTGGTGAGTTTCTTCTGTGTGTGAGAGAGAGAAGGGGAGAGGGGAAGCGAGAGGGAGAGAGAGGGAGGAAGGGAGATAGAGAGAGAGGAGAAAAGTCTTCCTGAAGCTTCCACTCTTTCAAAAGAAACATTTTCAACATCTCAGTGAGACAATATCCGTTTCTTCGTGTGGGTTTTGCCCTGCATTTTGTAGCTTTCACCTGACCAGTCTTTTTGCTTAGTCCAAAATGGCATTTGTATATTGTTTCATCTCTTCCCAGTGTTTAGGTCATCCACAACTTGCAACTGTAATTGAGCCTAACAATTAGGTTGTGACCGTCAGCAGATTTCCATTTGATCGGAACTGTTTTGATGAGCAGTTTCTTTCAAAAGTCTTGGAAATCCTGATCATATGATTGTGGGGCACTGCACACAGTCATAATTGCAAATTGTTTGCTGAGCATCCTAGAAAAGAAAGAGTAGAGTAGAACAGAACAGAACAGAACCTTGGAGGTCTTCTAGTTCTAAATGTGATCATGTGAGCATGAAGGAAGGCAATGTCAGAACTTCAAAACTAGGTCACAAGATATTTTTGGGGGGAAATATAAAGAACTTATATTTCACCCAAAATATCCTTTTGAACGCAATTCGAAGACTACGTGTAAATCAGCCTTTCTCATTAAGTTTTGATTTCTGTGCTCTCAAGGCTGTTTACACTACAGTCTGTGAAGGTAATAGTCCAAGATTCTTTTTCTTTTTTTTCAGATTTGCCATATTACCATAGATATCAATTTTTCCAGCGTTATCATTATTTATATTTCTGATTTGCTCAGTAACTTATTCTGAGCTTACCTCCTTTCGGCATCAGGGATTTTAAAACCACAGGAGCTCATATTGTCATATGGCACGGGCTTCTTTGTGTTACTCGCTGTTGAAGTAATTCTTTGTGTTATTTGCTGTTTGCTTAGTTCTTAAGCAAGTTTTGCGAATCAAAGCTGAAAAATATTTGTAGGATTTCCAGAATCTCTAGATTGGTACACGAGCATTTATAAAAACTAGATGAGAACAGTGTACAGTGAAAAGCTTGTCAGCGTGTATATGTGTGTGCAGGGGCACGTCCTTGGGTGTGTGCATCAAAATGATCTTTCCCTCCTTGATTTTATTCAGTCTAGCTCATGTCACAGCCATATGGTATCCCATGCTGGGATTTAGATTTTTCATAGACACACACATGAGAAACTGCTATTCCTGGAAGCCTCCATGTGTTGTGTTTGCTCCTTTTCAAGTGTTGTATTTTAACTCATTTGACTCAAAGCACTTTTCACAGTGCATAAAGGAAGCAACCTTAGATTGGTTTTCTCTTAGAGAAGATCCATTGACAAGGTGCTGTGAGACGGCAATATAAATGTTGTTTTGACACCAAAAAAATGAGTTGTCACTTTCAAAGGGAAATTTTAAAAAAGGATCCCAAAGGCAGTTTTGCCTATTTGCTTGCTTAATGTTATTACAGGACTCAGACCCAGGTAAGTCTGTGTATATTCTGATCGAGGTTTCCCAAGAGCATGAAACAAATTCCTTGTCCCGACAAAAAACCCTTTTATTAATTTACTGTGAATTCTGCTCATTCACAGCTGGAAAAGTCTTTCAAAGGAGGATTTACAGTCACAGACCTTATCTGNAGTGATGTTGAGTTGGCCATGCCCACACCGTCACATGACCACAGAGCCATGCATATCCAGCTGGTCACTAGGGCAGAGGAACCGGTTGTTAAAATTATTTGAATCCCACCACTGGTGGTATTCCCTTCGACACTCTATGGAAGTGAAAGATTGATTTTGATGAAGCAGTGTAGGAGGAGTATTGACTCATTTGAATATTGGAGAAGATTCCTGAGAATATTGCGGTGAGCCACGGAAACAAACTAATGGATCATTAAACGAATCAGCACAGTGTTTCAAAGTACAAATGACCAGGCTCCAATTATCTTATTTTGGACACATTATGGAAAGACCTAGCTCTCTGGAGAAGGTTTGTAATGCTGGGAAAAGTGGAAAAAAAGAGATGAGGATGAGCAAGGTGGAGTGGAAAACAATGGCATATAATTAATCAATTTTCTAAATGTTTAAACTGAGTAGAGGTAGCTCAGAAGCTTAGAATGATGATCTTAGAACTAGTTGGATTGGTGGGTATTCCTGTATACCAGGTGTATCAAACTCGATTTAATTAAGGGCTGCATTAGGGTTGTGTTTGGGCGGGCCAGCGAAGGCATGACCAGGGGTGTGTGATGGGGTGGGTATGGCCAGTTTGCCGTCATTCGTGTTGGGGGAACCTGTACTGGCCCAGGTAGGGCTAGGGATCCTGGCCTCTGTCTTTGACTGAGACAACCTCCTGCAGCACTCTGTCAGCAAAAACAGAGCTTGGGAGGGTCATGCGTGGCCCGCCCGAGCTCCATTTTCACTGGCAGAGGCACCTCAGGCCGGTCCTTCGCTGTTTCCAGGACAGTCCCATGAGCCACATCTGGCCCACAGGTCTTGAGTTTGACACCCTTGCTATATATACTGTAAGCATGGTGAGAGATCAATTCTGTAGAATTTTTAAAAAGTGATTTGAAAGGTTTTTTTATATTTATATCATTTTTTTTTAAAAAAAACTTCTGTTTAATATTTAAGTCTGTATTTCAACCAAAACCATAGAGGGGGGGGAAAGCCCAGTATGTTTATCTATTCTGTGCAGTCATGTTTGATTTCCAGAGGTATTTTTGAATGGCTAGGAATTTGAACATACCACATAATTGCTGCTCTTTAAAGCAGCCATGTTTTCCCCAGCATCTCCCCACAATTTTGAAAGGTTATCAGCAGGTGTTATGTTTGTACCAGTGGTGGGTCTGGTAGCCATTACTGTCGGTTCCCTCAGGGATGCGCCACGCGCATGAGTGCACATGTGCAGTATAATGAGATCTAGAACCTCATAGCTGGCTTTATTGGTGGAAAGTTGCCAATGTGGATGCCCAACTGAGTCTGTTTACGGAAGAGACACTGAGCTTTCCTCTTTGGCACAAACAAGAAATAAATAGGAAAGAAATGCTTATTTGTTAACGCACAGAGTTTCTGTTGTTCATATGGCAGATCCCATGCTTGTCCGCATTACCTCTGGGGCGGGGCCAAAAGGGAGCAACAACGCCCAACATATTCTTCAATGTTTCCTTTCTCTTTCAAGTCACAAGACAGGCAAAAACAGACAGAATGGCAGCATGCTGGGAAAATGTTAGGACAGGGTGGGAGAGTGACAGAAATATAGGGAATGGTCTATTTTCCACTGAAATGATATCTAAATCCAGAAATATGTATGAAATGCAGAGGTGTCTGCATTTGGACCAGTATAATTATAGCTCAATGGAGATTCTAGGTCATCTAGGTCCGGGTTGTCCCAAAGGTGCTTTTTCAAGAGGCAACTGGACTTCTGGTTTTTCTTTGAAGATGTTTCACTTCTAATCGAAGTGGTTTTTTCAGTTTCTCTTCAAAGAAAAATCAAAATTCCAGTTGCCTTTTGAAAAAGCATCTTTGGGGCATATAATTATAGTCCTCAATCAACTGGAGCCTGCTCATTTCGGTTGTATGTTGTGACGGTTGTAAAACAGGTTAGTCATGTGACTGACTTTTTTGTGTCAGTTATTGAACAAACCAAGGGTTCTCTATGGGCGTGGTTTTGCTAAAAACCAGAAGTGCTGGCAAAACAGTAAAATTTGATCTCATGACCAATGGATGTTTGAAATGGCTTTTTGTTGAGGGCCTGAAATTTGATCATGTGACCACAGAGGGGCCCTGACCATTGGAACTTAGAATCCGGGTCATAACTCCCCCTTTGGGGGCCAATCATAATGTCAAACGGTTGTAAGTGAATGATCATAAGTTGAGGATGATCTGTGTGTGTGAATAGTTTATGATTAAACTTTTTCTGGAAAGAGAAAACCAACCCCTTAGCCTAAGGTGACCAGACATAACGCTTTTGGCGGGACNTTTGCTTGCTTAATGTTATTACAGGACTCAGACCCAGGTAAGTCTGTGTATATTCTGATCGAGGTTTCCCAAGAGCATGAAACAAATTCCTTGTCCCGACAAAAAACCCTTTTATTAATTTACTGTGAATTCTGCTCATTCACAGCTGGAAAAGTCTTTCAAAGGAGGATTTACAGTCACAGACCTTATCTGGCTTGGAGAGCTTACAGGCCGATATCTGCAGAACTTGGCAGGGAGTCTCAGAGAGTCACAAACCAATTAGAGAACTAATTGTCTCCTGCAAACTCCATTCCCCTTTTGCCCCTCTTTTATTTCCTCTGGGAGGGTCCATTCGTCATCCACCTGTGGCCTTACTCCCAAGTCGACCCCTGTTTTTTAGTTGTTTCCTTCGTCTGACAACTCTGCACATGAACACACTGAGAACAGGCTCCAGCTGTTTGTCTGCCTCACTGATGTCTGAATCCAAAGGTAGCTGATAACTGTCGGATGGCTCTGGCCCCATCTCTGCCTCTGTCACAGAGCCCTCATCAAAGCCTTCCCCAGACTCCAGGACTGGCCCATGTTCCTCCCCAACCTCCCCACTGTCCAAATGTAATGGGCCACAACATTGTGTCCGTGCGTGCATGCATAAACACACACAGACACACAGACACAAACACATACCTATTAAGTTTATTCTACTTTGCTGTCAACATTGCATAGATTCTAACAGGTTAAAAATTAAACTTTGCAATAGCAAGTGTGATATTGAGAGCTTGGGCTACCAAAAGAAGCTGCCTGTAGAGAGAATGAAGCTTTATTTCTAAATGCATTTTCCCCATGCAGATATTATATTTGTTTTCTTTTACGGTTATACAATAATAATAATAATTATGACTATAGTATGTAATCAGGACAAACTTTTTCATGTGTGTGCGTGCGTGCATGTGTGTGTGTAATCTTAATTTACTTATGATCTGTGGATGAGAAAATATTTTGGTAATGCACAATTTGTAAGCTTTGTGGGACCATAACAATTCTTGGGTTTCGTAAGTTTATTTTCTAAATATCAACTATTTATTCTGACACCCAAAGCAAACATCTGTGTTGAAGATCCCTTTCTGTCAAATGTTCACCCACCTCTTACTTGAGAAGCCAACTTCTCAATCTGTTGCATGCTGAATTCATAAGTTAAAGAGTTTGTGATTTTGCCACATTTATTAACCTCAAAACACAACCTTTTGAATCCTCCTTGTATATATTCATTGCTGGCTTTGATAGGATGGGAACTGCATGTCTTTCTAACTGGCTCAGGGCAATCGAGATTGTTACTCAGGATCTAGTTTCCCATCTAGTTTCCCACATCTTGCTATACAGCAGCCAGCCAGGGGTTTCTTTAGGATTCAAAGTCAATAAATTCAAAGCATGACAAAATGCTCAAAAAGATTTTATTAAGAGCGTTAATAGAAAAAAAGATATACCAATCCACATCCCTTCAGCTTGCCAGGAATACCAAGAATGGCAGTGGATAGTCTGCATGGAGTCAGCAATTGTGCAGCAGCATCCTAAGATGTTTGGCTTAGACTAGGGGTGTCAAATTTGCATCATCATGGTGGTGTCATGTGATGTATCATGACTTCCCCCCCTTCTCTAAGCCAGGTATGGATGTGGCCAGTGCATGACGCATTTGGCCCCCTGGCTGTGAGTTTGACATCCCTGGTTTAGACCAATGTTCAAACTATCCCAAGGCTTTCACCGTCTCTTTATGCCAGAAGGGAACAGAGAGTATAAACCAGGGGTATCAATCTTGTGCCGTCACTTTGTCGTCACGTAACATATCATGGCTTTCCCCCCCTGTTTGCTAAAGTGGGAGTGGGCATGGCCAGTGCGTGAGACATCCGACCTGCAGGCTGTGAGTCTGACACCCCTGGTATAAACAATAACACTTGGTAATACATCTCATCAAGGATTTGGTCACACCATTAGACAGTGGAATCTCAGTCAAAGATATGTTTAGGGAAGACAAGGTTCCTTTTAGATGGCAACTGGGCATGGTTGATGACCTATCTGATTAGCAACCTAGGAACCTAGAGAAGTAACTCTTTGCTAAAAGTGTATCTATCAGGTTGTGTGCCTTGTATCCTTAGCAGGTGTGCACCTCTTCTTTGGATTAGGGAGCTGGTGTTTGTCCTCTTCATCTTAATTATTGAGGTAGGATTATAGGTAAGAGGCAAGGAAGAATGATTAGCAGTAGAATGATGCAATCAGGAAGGCTTGCTAAGGAAGTTCTTCTAAGCACAGGTGTAAAGGGATGTGCACTGCAAATTGTTAAATTAGACAGAGTTTGCCTCAGCTGGCTAAGTAACCCTTTCTACACAAGAATTTCTCAAACAAAACAAAACACACACACACACACACACACACAAACACACACAAACAATACACGCCAACCACACACTTTTCTTACAAATCTTACAAACCAATAGAACAGCAATATGTCTCAATAAAAGTGGATGCTATATTAATGACTGAGTTTTGCCAGGCTGTAAGAGTTGCAAGCCAAAATATCCTGCTTTTAAGGTAAATGGGAGCTATGTATATTTTGGCCAGCCACAGATGCTTCAGTGGCCAACATAATTTTTAATGATAACTTTTGATGTTATTTTTTGGGGCGCCGTTTAATCTCTGCACATTGTAAAATCTCTGGACATTTAATTGGCATGGAGGGGGAGATGTGTACTTCTGAAAGCCAGATCCTCTTAGGGGGTGTCAAACTGGCGGCCCACGGGCCAGATGCATCACACACAGGCCACGCCCACCTGTTTCACAAAGGGGAAAAACATCACAAAACATCACGTAACAGCAATGTGGCACAATGAGTTTGACACGCGTGCTCCAGGTAGACTATTGAAGGCTATTTTCCCCCAAGTTTCCTTTTAGCCACTCTCATGCTAAGCTCTTTGGCCATGAACACACCTCTCTCTTTCACTTGTCCATTTGTTTTTCCAGTCTTCAGTTTCATGGAGAATCTCAAGTGGAACATATTGCTTATTTCCTTGGACCAAAGACATATTATGTTTCTTCCTGGGTTGTCAGGGATGGCTGAGTCACCTCATTAGTTTAGCAACTTTTCTATACCAAAGCAACATGCTAAATAAATCTTCTATGTATGCACAGGAGAGTAAATATGCAGCAGCTGTGCTATTTAGAAAGATATTTCCTAAGAAAAGCATATAAATAAAGAAATTAGTTTATTGTTTCAGTCTTAATTGGGTAGTCCAAAGTCCAGACATTTTGCAGCCTAGGCTGTAGTAATTTTTTGGAGACTCTGAAGCTGTCTTCAGACTTATTTGTAAAAATAATAAAGATGGGATATAAATAAATAAAATCCAGTATTAAGAATTCCAGTCTGCTGAATTCCAATTTATTGCTCATATATCCATCTTTCAGCCTCCAAGGGATTTCCATGTTATTATCCCAGTCAATAACTCGGTAAGGCAAGTTGAAAGAGAATAAATGTCGAAATGCCTTCAAAAAGTTATACAGCCATAGCAATAGAACTTAAGAGTTACCTACCGCTTTGCAGTGCTTTCCAGCCCTCTCTAAGCGGTTTACAGAATCAGCTTATTTTCCCCAACAGTCTGGGTCCTCATTTTACCCATCTTGGAAGGATGAAAGGCTGAGTCAACCTTGAGCCTGGTGAGATTTCAACCGCCAAATTCCAAGCAGCCGGCAGTCAGCAGAAGTAGCCTGCAGTACTGGCTTAACCTTAACCCCTGTGCCACTGTGGCTCATTTAGACAAGTGAAGAGTCACCACCTCCAATTTAATGTTGTAAACATAAAGTTTAAGGTGTATAAATTGATTTCATCTTCTGGTGGCTTCAGAGACAGTGTGGTTTTTTGTTTGTTTGTTTGTTTGTTTTGACAATCTTCTAGCAGAAGTGGCTTGTCACTCTTGGGAAATTTTCTTTTTAATTTATCAAGCCTAGCCTACAACGTAGCATTTCTCATGCTGGGAGTGGAGGTCCACAAGTCTTAAAGTTGCCATGGTTGGACATCCCTGATCTTGAGACCGGTACTTCCTGTATCAATATTGTAATTCTTACAGTGTGCCACTCCTTCAATAAACGTAGGGCTGGCTGCCAAAAGCAACCGTGGAAACAAAATCCATAAAAGGATCATATGATGTTTAGCCTCTTTCCCTATCCTGCATTTTCAGTTTGCAAATTATGATTTCACTTTTAATTAACTTTTAAATAAACAGTTGTTAAAATAAGCAGTATTAAAATAAACAGTGAAGCTTTATTTGGTCTGTTTCAGGTGTACAACAGCCAGGGGTCAAGTGGTTCTTCTGGAAAAGCCTTTAAGGTCCATCTGCAGCTATGGGACACAGCTGGGCAAGAGAGGTAATGTGCAAGAACTTAAAAATCCAATGCAGAAATAATTGGAAGGGGAAATGAACAACATTTTTCTATTAGATTCTGTCATCTGAACTTGGGCAGGTTTTCAAGACAAGATATTTTTAAATTATCATTTTTGACATCATATTACTGTTTACAAGAAAGCTGAAGACCTAGTTTTTCTTATCTTGAATTATTTGGAATTTTGAATAAAAAGTGATTTGAAGCATTTTGGAATGTCAGATTTCAGGGGTACAATTGCTAAAAGTCGCAGGACACCGTGGGTAGTGTCTGCAGTTTACACACACACACACACACACACACACACACACACGTGTGTATGTGTGTATATGTATTTATACACACACATATATACATACACACTTATATGTATGTGTGTGTGCATATGTGTATAGGTAAAGGTTCCCCTCACACATATGTGCTAGTCGTTCCTGAATCTAGGAGGCAGTGTTTATCTCCATTTCAAAGCCGAAGAGCCAGCACTGTCCAAAGAGGTCTCCATGGTCATGTGGCCGGCATGACTAAATGCCAAAGGCGCACGGAACGCTGTTAACGTCCCACCAAAGGTGGTTCCTATTTTTTTTTTAATGTGCTTTTGAACTGCTAGGTTGGCAGAAGCTGGGACGCGGCACTAAGGATTCGAACCACCAAACTACTGACCTTTCTGATCGACAAGCTCAGTGTCTTAGCCACTGAGCCACCGCACACATACACACACAAACACACACAAGTTCTCTGCTTGAAGATGTGTGAGCCATACACTCATAAATTCCATGTCCCTGGGTGGGCAGCTGAGTAAAATCTCCCCTGGCAGTTTCCTGCCCATCTTTTTGGCAGTCAGGGGGAAATTTATAACACAAATCCCTATTGGAATGGAACAGAGCATCAAGAGAAAACAAAATCATCCCTGGGGCTGCCTTGCCACCTGAAGAAAGATTTGTGCTTGAGCAGTCATTCCGGATAAGGGTTGACAACCCGTGTAAAGAGAATATTAAAGCTTTGCCTTGTCATTTATCAGTTCGCTTGCAGCACTTTTTTAAAAAAAAGATTTCAGCCATGAAATGTTTACCTAATACCCCTCACTTGCTTTTCCCTGATAGCTCATGTTGTGTATTGATCCTTTTCGCTCCTTTCCTCCTGACAGATTCAGAAGTCTCACCACAGCCTTTTTCAGAGATGCCATGGGCTTCTTGCTAATGTTTGATCTCACCAGTCAACAGAGCTTCTTGAATGTCAGAAACTGGATGAGTAAGTGGAAAAAGCAGCTGCCTCTCTTAGCCTTGAGCTCTTTTAGCTTCAGCGGCATTGAATCTCCCGTCTTCAATGCGACAGCAGTCCCCATAGAGAGTGGAATTATGTAAGCTCTTCCTGATATGATTAAACACCCTGCAACAAAAGGCACGCAGATACCTTCGAAAAGAATGCAGCGGTTAGTGTGCAGTACTGCAGGCTGCTGCTGCTGCCTGCAATTTGGCAGTTCGAATCTCACTAGGCTTAAGGTTGACTCAGCCTTCCATCATTCTGAGGTCGGTAAAATGAGGAGCCAGATTGTTGGGGGCAATAGGCTGACTCTATAAACTGCTCAGAGGGGGCTGTGAAGCATTGTGAAGCTCTATATAAGTCTAAGTGCTATTGCTATCATTTGCTCAAAAAAACCAGACAATTTTATAGTGATCTAATGGATGCCTACTGAAGCTGCAGTGTCGCAGTGGTTAGAATGCAGTAGTGCAGGCTACTTCTGCTGACTGCAGGCTACCTGCAATTTGACAGTTTGAATCTCACCAGGCTCAAGGTTGACTCAGCCTTCCATCCTTTTGAGGTCGGTAAACTGAGTTCCCAGATTGTTGGGAGCATTAGGTGGATTCTGTAAACTGTTCCGAAAAGGCTGTAAAGCACTGTGAAGCTGTATATAAGTTTAAGTGCTATTGCTATTAGAAGTGATGCGCGCTCCTCTCTGAAGCTGGCTTTTAGAGGTTCCTGGATCATTCTTTGCCTTGGCCACAGGCTCCAAAATAGCTGTCAGCCCTGAAGCCATTTCCCCCTGGCACCTTCAGGGCTGCCACAGTGGAGATGAGATGAGCGGTGGGAATGGCAGAGGGGAGGCTATCTATACTTTGAGGAATATGCCTGCCTTGGCATTTGGATTGCATTGGGACTGTTAACTGGAACTTTGGCATTACCTTTTATGGAAGCTTTAGGAAACTGGTGGACTTTCCCTTTGACCTGACAAAATTGTTTTTTTTTTAAACTTCAGCACTCTTCTTGAAGCCTCTAGCATCACCACCATGTCATGTTTCTGCAGAACACTGAGCCCTGCCCAAACTAGTTGAAATGTTACTAAAAGAATGCATGTGAATTGCTTGAATTGTATTTGCTGTATGTGAGTAACAGGTAGCTGTGATGCATAGAAGAAATAAAGTGCTTATTGGTCTTTGCAGATGTATTATCTTGATGTTAATTTGATTGATTTGATGGCATAATGTATTCTGGACAATAAGACACCAACCTTCCTATTTCTATCATAACATTTTCTAAATGTAAAAATAGGTAGTGAATGTGCTCATATTTCATCTCTCAGCCTTTCCCAGCCAGGTTGAGCAGCTCAACTGGAAGATAACAGGTTAGGAAAGGCTGAGAGAAACTATGATTTCTGCTCCTCTGTTTCCAGGGAATCTTTCTACCCTCCTTACCAAGTTTCTACATTTTCTTTCTTTAGGTCAGTTGCAAGCAAATGCTTATTGTGAAAACCCCGACATTGTATTAATTGGAAATAAAGCTGACCTATCAGATCAGAGGGAGGTCAATGAAAGACAAGCAAAAGAACTTGCAGACAAATATGGGTAAGACAAACCAACATGTTGTCCTCTAAGCTAACTCAGGAGGCGTTGCTTTGCCCATCTGAATGGTGCAAAAGGTGAGATAAGGACACAATGAAATGGCTAAGACATTTGGTTTCAGAGGGAAAAAACCAAGTGTAATATTTATTTATTTTTCCCTGTTGACATCAATGATTCTTAAAGTAATCCCCGTATGGATAAGTACTGGTGCTAATAAGGTTTCCTTTTTGTGAGAGAGGGAACAGGGATGAGTTCAGCGGACTTGGGGGCTTTTCAGAAAGTGACACAATATTCTTAACAGTTGACCTAAAGTCATTTTGCTTTTGAGAACTTAAATGCAAGCTCCCCTTTGAAGGGAAACCTGTAGGTTATTGTTACAACTATTCTCTCTTGAAATATCTTATCATACTTCCGATGTTTTCCTGCCATAGCATCCCATACTTTGAAACAAGTGCAGCGACTGGCCAAAATGTGGACAAAGCCGTGGAGACCCTCTTGGACTTAATAATGAAACGAATGGAACAGTGTGTTGACAAGTCTCAGCTCTCTGACACAGCCAATGGTGGGAGTTCAGGAAAACTGGTGTCGCCCAAATCTGATGAGAAGAAATGTGCTTGTTGACTTGGCCATTCAGGTTGAAGAAAAGGAATGAGAAATCAGAATGACCAAATGCTAAATTCAACCTGGAACTCCATGGACCAAATGAGACTGCTGTTGTTGTCTTAAGCAAGCCTGATTTTGTTTTTTTCCAATGCTGAGAAATCATGCTTCTGCATTCAAACAGGTGTAAACCATCTTCATAGAAAATCCAGAGGCTCTTTTCTTCTTCATACAATAGGCAAGTAAATACAGAAAAAAATATCTGCTTTGGGGAGAGGACCATTGAAATGTTAGGAGACACCTTTACAATAAAACAAAGGGTGGTCTTTGTTGGCCTGAGCCATCATTTCTCATCTCTTTGCCCTCTATTATGACATACATTGTATGTTTGCTAAACAGGTGATGAAAAAACATCCCAAAGAATATGTTGTGTGACTCATTGTAAACGTCTTTATGGTTTTGAATACCAAAAAGTTCATTGTTGTTTCATTCAATGTAGTCATTAGGTGGCATTGGAGATAGAGGTGGACTGTAGAAAGAAGATGTCCATACAATATAGTAGCGTGTTGGAAAATCATAAGGTTTGCTCAAAGCTGAAAAGTACCATGTGCCTTGAAATACTTGGCCAAGTATTTCATTGGTGACTCAGAGAGTGATATTCCAATGGAATCCCCATTCATTAAGAGGTAGTATGTATTTATTAAGTTCTATATGATAGTTAACATTTCTAATTAATTCTAATGCTCTAATTAACACAATATGTATGTATGTATGTGTATGTGTATATATACATACATACATACATACATACATACATACATACATACATACATACATACACGCAGAAGATTATTTTTGCTTTTACTTTACCAGCAGAGCACTTCCTAAACTTGAAGCTATGTTCAACGTTGATCTGGAATATTAGTTGTCCAAAGCAAAGTCTTGATTAAATGTATAATACTGTTACTTTCACAATTTAAAATGAGAAAGGCAGGAACAGGAAAAAAGAAGAGGAAGTGCCAATAATAATTTTGTTACAGTAGAAGTACTGTTAAGTGAAGGATATGTGCACTTTAGAGCCAAGTGTGATAGGTGGTATGATGATGATGAACCAAATGCAGCGCTTTAAAACAAAAACAGACATTGTCTTTCCACTATGCACCATTTCTGGTGTAAAAGGTCTGCTTTTGCAATTCAGCCAAATTCCAAAACCGTCCGCAATTCCCTGCCACCATTTTCTAAGTTAAAGAGTTCATTTCACCAGGTTCTTCGTGTTACCAAAGCAAAAGTGTTGTTTCTAACATTTATCACAATGCTATTCATCAGTCTCTCAGTAATTAAAATATATATTTCTGTTTGCAAAATGTGAGCACATTTCCCAGAAAGAGAAATAACGTAGAGAAATATATTCTTCTGGTGATATCTCAATTTTCATTTTTATTCCAATACTGTGATACCTTCAGTACACTTTTAAATGTTTACTGCTTTTTGTAATCCGTAGAACTCATTTTCAGAAATGGGAAATTACAAAATCCCAAAGGTGTCTTCACTTTTTGCTAGTGTTAATTGCTCAGCACTCCTATTGGGAAATACTAATGTTTTTGTCTATGAAATCTGGCTGCTTTGCTTGAAATCAAGGGCTGGGGAAATACAGTTAAGCAGTGTTTCTCAACCATGGCAACTTTTAAGATGTGTGAACTTCAACACCCAGAATTCCCCAACAAGCATACTGGCTGAGGAATTCTGGGAGTTGAAGTCCACTCGTCTTAAAGTTGGAAGGTTGAGAAACAATGCACTTAACTTTACACTTAACACTTAAGTATAGAAGCTTTATGCATTAATGTGTATCTCTTTTTTTTCTATATGGCCCTACACTGTGAGGAATATTTAATCTCTTTTTCCTGTAATTCTGCCATTTTATAACAAAGATCTTTTAGCTTTCCAATGGAAGAAGAGATAACAATATATCCTTAATGTTTCCCAGCTGTTAATACCTTACTCAGTGCTCTCCGTTGCAGTAAACAGGGTTATCTGCTGCAAAAATTTGGACATATGGCTGAGGAAGTGAGGAGTCTCAGCCAACTTGTTGAAAGTTGCCATTCAGAACTTTTCTTATATATAGTTAGACATCTTCTGGTATTGTAAAGCCGATCTGAAGGGACTAATATATTCCACTTGTATTCCAATCTCTCACACTACCATACATATATTTTGTTGTTTACTATCTTGGAGTAGCAACTTAAGAACTCAAAGCTATTCCTAAGGCACAATTATTGTTGGGCATCATTTGTTGTAATCATACACTGGGCTATCTACTAGCATGCCTAAACGATCTCCCTGTGCCTCATAATGCCCATGAGTGAATGTTTTATGCATGCATGTTAAACTTTGATATTGTGTACACAGAATATTCACTGGCATTAAGTAAGGCCAAATAGCTGTTGGTTTTGTAGCTGTCATTATGCACACCTAAACTCCTGCATGCATAAAATGTGAACATTTATGAGCACAATGTTGAATCCACAAGAACACTTTTGCCTTCCCAGATCGGCATTATATCATCTCATGAATAGCCTTTGAAATTGGCTTGATGCAACTAAAAACTTGCCAAGATGGCAATACTGGGATCCATCTTGCATTGTCAATATAAACTCAAAATAAATTCTGTATCACAGCAACAATTCTTTCATTATCTTTTTTTTAATGGCCCTATTTCATCAAGGAGATCAGGATATATACGATCAATATCAAATGTATTGATGTAGGTTATGTTGCCATTGTAGTTCATAATTGGCGCCTCACCAAAATAATCCTACATATAATAGAGTACTTGATTCAACTTTACCTTCAGTTCATTGATGAATAATTGTAATGACAATACATTATGCTATTTTTTTCCAGTCTTCCTTTTGAGATATGGTATGAAATTCCCTCTTCTGACTTGGTTTCGTGAATATTTGAATCAAAATACTGGATGTGTAATTGTCTATGTATGATTAATAGACCCATGGCTGTTCACTGCTTATGTGCACCCTATTGTCCAAAAGTATTCAAATGTAATGACCAAGTTCTCAAGTGCTTCTGTTGTGCTTTTGACCATCCACAAAGCACACTAAGCCAACAATTGTTTTCATAAACTGTATATAATTGCTGAGGAAAGAAATAGAGAACTGTTAGTTTCATGTAACTTGTTTTGCCTGCTTTTATCAACAACCATTGGCATGACATTATAGCAGCTCACACTGCACATACCAACTTGATTTCTATAAAAGGGTCTTTGTCTGCTTTGTTAAAGCCTCTGAGGAGCAAAGTTGTTGCCTGATGAAATGCACATGATGTCCCTTATAATTACTGTCCATGGGATAAATCAATAAGTACTTAAGAGACAATTGTTCTGTCACTGAAAATGTGTTTCTGTACTTGCCCAGCAGCCTTTTAACGAAGTCTTCTATCAAGATTTACACAGTGTTCAAACAAGCCATTTAGCTGCTGTTTTGTTAAGAAAAGCTACCTTCCCCGATACAGTTAGTGTAGTCTGGTATTACATGAAGTGACCACTGAAACTATTCAGCCTTGTTGGTTTCTTTCTCCAGTCCAACTGAGGCAGATTTGGATGGTGTCCCTCATGGTCAACTTTCTAGATCTGCTCTTGAAGCTCAAGGTTAGCAATCAGGAGGAGTTTGACTACCATAGATTAACATGGCTGCCCTCCGAGAACATCCTCAAGGCTTTGGAAGGAACTCTCCCATGTTTTCCTTTTGCTGAAATAAATGTTTGATAACAGTTCTTCTAAAGGTCAAACTAAACATCACCTGGGTCACAGGGTTATGGCTGTTACAAAGTGGATTAATAGGGGGAAAGAAAAGTTACCCCAAACAGAAGCACCATTACAGTCATATTCTCAGAAGGGGTGAAGTTGTGCAGTCTGTCTATGCTGTCTGGTGTTAAATATTTAGTTGTACTTACTACAGCCCTCCTCAACTCAGACCATTTAGCACGGGGATCTCCAACCTTGGCAATTTTAAGACTTGTGGACTTCCAACTCCCAGAATTCCTCAGCCAGCATGGGAGTTGAAGTCCGCAAGTCGTAAAGTTGCCAAGCTTGGAGACCTGTGATTTAGCACAAAATCTTTTATGAGATATTTCTTAAGAAACATGGACACATCATCATCATCATCATACACTTCCAAGGGCCCTGCCTGAAGCTCTCCTAAACTTGATTCCACCTCAGCTTTTAAATCAAGAAGCTTTTCGGATCTTAAACCCTCTCTAACTGCCTTTGCTTCAACCCGGAGTGGGATTTTCAGTGTATATAACTCTATGATTCAAGGTACTTTTATGTCTTTCTCACAAATATATTTATTGAAATTGTTCTTTTCAGATTTTGATTCAACACTAAGAGCCTCCTGACTGATCAGTTGCTTCCCCCCTCCCCTGGCTTTGTTTTGCTTTCAGTGTTCCCTTAAATTAGATAACTCTGAGCATGTTTTCTGTTGGTCTTTGAGACGGTTCTGTAGAAATTAAAGTTTTACATTCTTTGAACTAAATGTCTGAATTATCTATCTCTCTCTGGATGGACTGCACTGCCAGCCTAGCAGCACCAATCATTAACCGTGTTGTATTACTACTACTATGCTGTTGCTTTTCAATGATATATAAATATGTATTTATATGTGTGAGCCTGTGTGTGAGTACACACATATACATACATACATACAATCAGACTGTATCCATTGGTGTCTGGGTTTTTACAATATGGCTAAGGAATGTAATTCTGTAGTTTCGTTTCTCCACTGTTCTTTTGAGATTAAAAACTCTTCATTTTTAAAGCAGTTGTGGATTGTTGTCTCCAAGAGCGAATGTGATCTAAGGGGTCTGAGAATGGTGAAACTGTGCAGACGACACACACAATGTGTCTTACTTGATTCTGGCTTTGCACATGGGAATCAGTAAAAGGTAAAGGTTCCCCTCGTACATGTGTGTTAGTCATTCCCAACTCCAGATGGGCGGTGTTCATCTCCGTTTCAAAGCCAAAGAACCAGCGTTGTCCGAAGGCGTCTCCATGGTCATGTGGCCGGCATGACTAAATGCTGAAGGCACACAGAATGCTGTTACTTTCCCACCAAAGATGCTCCCTATTTTTCTACTTGCATTTTTACATGCTATTGAAGTGTGAATCAATGGTGGGATTCAAATAATTTAGCAACCGGTTCTCTGCCATAATGACCAGGTGGGTAGGCATGGCTCAGTGATCATGTGACTAGATGGGTGTGGCCAACTCAACATCACTCACGTTGATGGGCGCTTCATCTTAGCTGTTACAATATAATAAGGGTTAATGGGAGAAGCAGTTTCTATAAGCAGGGCAATAAAGATTAGGCTAGAAACAACACCAGAATGTTTCCTTCCTGCCTACCTTGCAGGATTAGCCCTGTAAAGTGGGAAAAAAAACAAAATGGGATTTCTTCCAACAACCGGTTCTCCAAACTGCTTAGAAAGTTGACAACCGGTTCTCCCGAATAGGTGCAAACTGGCTTCCCCAATGACTTTGCTTGTCAAAAGAGGATCACATGACCCCAGGACACTGCAACCGTCATAAATACGAATCACTTGCCAATCATCCTATTGTAAATCACGTGACCATGGTGAGGATACTGCAATGGTCATAATAGTGAAAAACGGTCATAAGTCACTTTCTTCCAGTGCCGTTGTAATTTTGAAAGCTCACTATATGAAGTGTTGTAAGTCGAGGACTACCTGTATACCCAACCTCTGCAGGATCTCAGTTTTATTTCACCCTGAAGTTGTTTATTTGTATATTTTATTTTGCCTTTTTTTGGCCGTATAACCGTGGGCATTTCTGGCTTGGCGGCCCGGCGGTGGGCGGAGGGGCTGGTTCTGTGTGAGCATTAGGCACACGCACAAGTGTGCTCAACTCCATTTGCATAAGCAGTTATCAGATTTTCTAATTGCTCAAGGAAAGGGGAAAAAACCCCAAATAGGCACACATTTAAGGCAGAAAGACTAATATAGCTGTACCCTGGTGGGAGAGGTGAGTGCTCTGTGGTGAGCCCTGCCTTGGAAAACATGATGTTTTTGAGAAAGTGAAGAGAGAAGGTTGGAATGAAACCGAGAAGAAAAAAGTTCCTGGCATTCCTGACTCACTCCCAGGAATCCAGATAATTAAATCATGGTGAACACTCATTACACTGACAAGGTTGCCTTCGGCTAAATTTCATAGTTTTATCCACAATGTACACCAGCTTACCTTATGGTCTTAAATAATTGATTGAACATTGTACCGGTTATTTATTTTGCTACAGTGCAGAGATGATCCAGCCAGATGGAAGCATAAATCTCGCTGCAGGCCAAGGAACAACCAACCTTACCTTTCATTATCACACTGGTCACTAAACAGACCGTCCTTGAGATTTTTAGATGCCATTCTTATCCTGATAACTACACTCTTGATTTCACGGCTTTTAGATTGCCCATTTCGTCGATATGTTTTGACAGTCTTGGCAAGCTGCTCTTGAAATATCATATAAGGATGTTGTAGTCATTACAGATAAATAAATAATTTATTCATTTAATTATGGGGAAACTTGCTCTTGTGCTGTCATAAAACAGGGCCTAGCCAAAGGTAGAATCTGTTTTTATAGAGGTATAACTCAAATATATATTCCTACTTTTCTTGCCTCAAGCCAGGGGTGAAATCCTCCTGGTTTGGCCCGATTTGGCCGAACCGGTAGGGACGATTGTTCTTGGTTCTGTGAACCGGTAGTTAAAAAAAAAAGCTTCTAAGGATCGTGCAGCTCAGCTGTGAGCCACGCGATTGTCGGGAGCTTTTTTCCTGCTTTTTAAAGCATTTTTCCCCTGCTGGTTCAGGTGAACTGGCAGGAAAAATAATGCTTTAAAAAGCAAAAAAAGCTGGTCACACCCACCTGGTCACATGACCCCCACCACCACCACCAAGCCACGCCCTCAGAAGCGGTGAATCAAAATTTTAGATTTCACCACTGCCTCAGGCATACTGCTTGATGAAGCTGCCTTGGAAGAGCTCTATGCAAGAACACTTACATTTTACCGATTCTAAATCATGACATAAGGATGGCTGCAGGACTGTCTTCTCTGTGCTTAGATGCACCTCCTAGAGGTATTTTACTTCCCTCGGAAACGTCATTTGTAAAATTATCATTTTACACAACAACATAATTAGCTTGCCAGATTCAAACTAATCCTAGGGAACGGGGTGTAAAGCTGTAAAGAGCTATCTCCATTCAAGGTTTTCTAAGGGTCAATTTACTTATAATTCTCCATAAAATATAATACTAAGAGCTGCAATTTGGCGTGAGGAGATATTTTTCTATTGGATTTATGCAACCTCCACAGAGTAGTGCAGTGGCCTAGAGGTGGATCTCTTGCCTCACAATCAGGAGGCTGTGAATTCAATCCTAGCTAGAGGCAGATATGTGTCTCTCTGGGCACAATGAGGATATATCTACTGGGATAAAACTCCGCATTGGTGATAGGACGGGCATCCGGCCAGGAAACACTCAGCTCCATTCAGTTGCCGAAACTACACCCTGCAAGAGATTATGGGGTCATGAAAAGGAATTGATTGATGCAATCTCCACACAAGTGCTCATTCATCCAAAACCAGGAAGAGAGAATTCTCACAAAACTAGTATTAGTCAGTTGTGGATCATCTGAACGACATATCTGAGCTCCACATCATATGTTTGACCCAGCTGCCTTAGTCCACCGTTATATTCTTCAGATGCACGTTATAGAACTTGCAGGAAGAAATTGGTCCTTATGGATTAATGAGTTCTGAAGCCAATGCATTTCCATCACCGGTAGGAACAACCGCAATGCTTCTAATAATAGGCCCATAGATGACTAAAAATGAACTCTCTCCCTCCATTTGTCCCAGCCTCCTGGATGCCTTCTGCCACATCTTGGTTTACTTCTTCCCTTAGAAGACCATCTTGAGATTCCATACAATTAATTTAAAAGATGAAATTGTTAGGTGACGTCAAAGTTCACTGTGCAGGTAAATCCAATGGAAATGCATAGAGACATTATTCTGGAAAGAAATGACCATCCTTGTAATGGATCTGAGGAAGGTTCAGGCCTCATAGGAATAGGTCACTTGCGTAGTTTGGATATTACAAGGTATGGCAATCTCTCATCAATCCTGGAAGATGGAGAATGTTTTAATTGAGCAAGATATCATTTTGGAAAAAAAAACTAGTTTAGATTTTGGAAATTAATCCTGTATTGACATTATTCGAAGAATCAGGAAGGAGGAGTTATTTCAGAGATCCTAAGAACTGCGTTAATATCAGTCATTGTCAGGTTCAGTTTACAAATGGCCAATAGCATATAATTGCTTCATTATAATTAACCAGGAAGCAGAATGACAACATCTGTCTCTTCATCAAAATAAAGATTGTAATACAGTGGTATCGTGGTACTCATCCTTAATTGCTTCTGGGAGGTGCAATGAGTACCAAAAACAATGAGTAGCAAACAATTTTTTCCCATATAGTGAGATATAAGTTATCCCCACCAAGTACCAAACAAATGAATATTGGAACAAAATTTTCATGTCAAAATGCATTTAGTACCAAATTTGATGAGTTTCAAAGCAGCTGAATACCAAGGTACCACTGTAATTTGAAAAAAATGTTTCTTTAAGTGAAAGGTGAACCAGTCTACATGGCAAGTAAATTCGATAGAACTTGAACTTCTAACTCCATATTTTTTACCTTTGTGATTTTTTTAGTTCAGCAACAAAGTAGACCTGAAGATTAACTTGTCTTGTATAGATCCAATACTTCATGACTATCATTTTCATTCAGTAACTAAGTTCATGCATTGCATTAAACTATGGTAATTTAACTAGGATTTCCTGAACAACGAATAACAATTGATTGGGTTCACACAACATATCAACTCCAAAATACCAATTAAGCTAGCATTATGGTTTAGCACGTGTAAATCTAACCAATCTTTTTTAAGGTAATTATTTTTCCTGAACATTTTAAAAGAAAAAACAAAATCAGAAAAGAAATGGTGTGCTATAAACCCATGAGCAGAATTATAGTCCAAACATGGTTCTTATATGAGATTAAATTTTGTATAAAATTTTGTTTTTCAAATAGAAATTTTAGACTTGTTAAGTACTTTTCCACAAGTCCATTAATTTTAGAGAAAAAAATTGTATATGGTTTTCAGTTAAAGGTGGCTATTAATGTACTACATACACACAGACTTTGATAATATTCAATCAAAAGATCGCAGGTTAAAAAGGGATTTAAACTTTTTGACAGTTTTCAATTTCTTTTGAAGCAGGAAATTAAAGTAGCAAACAACATTCTGAAAAACTCAAACCACAAGTATATGTTTCAATACGGTTAGCAAAGACTATGATTTGACTGATTGCCTGAATTAGCTAAAGTCAGTGGTGGGATTCAGCCGGTTCACACCACTTCGGGAGAACCGGTTGTTAACTTTCTGAGCAGTTAGATGAACTGGTTGTTGGAAAAAAATCATTAGGGCAGAGACCCAGTTGTTAAATTATTTGAATCCCACCACTGGCTAAAGTCTATTGAATTTGAAATATCAGAAGTCCCTGTAATTTGGTTCTGTGAACTAATTCTTTTAATGACAGTAGTGGCCAAGTGCTGGAAAGATTTCTGTAACTATAATGTGCTTACTATATCTTTGGCTCCACCTTCTGGAAAATCTGCACATTGCAGAAATTTAGTCTTTTGGTTGAGTCATAGAGCAAAAAAATTGCCAGCTATCTCATAGGAAAAATACTGAGCTATATATCCTGTCAACAACTGTACTGTCCATTGTCTAGCCCAGCTCATGCATTTTGTTTCAAAAACAACATGTAGCACAAGAAGTTCAGCTGGTACTGAACT